TACAGGTTTAACGAATTGGTCGCGGCCGATTTGTTTTATGTTCAAGTCCCTGGTTCTTTCCATCCAGTGCAATATTATAGACCATGGTTCTCTTCTTCAGGTTTGCACGTTGCTCAGAGCCGCCGCGTCAGCTGAGGTGTGGAATGCCTTCCTGAAGCGCTGGGTGAGGCCCTAGGGGGTACCAGCGATGATGATGGCGGATGGAGGGCAGGAGTTCGAGGGATCATTTTCCCGTGGGCCCGAGCATCTCGGAGTGTATCAACGCGTCTGCGATGCAGAATCCCCTAGGCAAAACGGAAGATGAGACATGGGAGGCTTGCGAAGTCTGCGCTGTCTCGCGCGGCGACTATTGTGGAACCCACCTCGTCCGAAGAAGTGGAGGGGCTGCTGCGCGAGATTATTTCGGCCAAGAATAGGCGCGCCCGCGGGGGGGGATTCCCCCCCCGCCCAGAAGAATTCGGCGAGGACCCTCGCCCCCCGAGGTTGTCCGGTTGCAGCTCGCGACGAAGTGGGGGCCGGGGGGGGGGTCAGGGGCTCCGCGGACTCCAACTCTCCCACCACGGCTATCGCCGGGAGGCATGCATTGAGGGGGGGGCAAGAACGCGGCGATGGCCATGGTCGCCCGGAACCGCCCCCGGGCCTGGGCGCGTGTCTGGAGGGAAGGAGGGACCTCGCAATACCGCGACGGAGGCCCCAGAAGCAGGCGGGGGGCGGGGCCAGGGCCGTTGTTTTTCAGCGAGCAACCGCGGCGCAGGTGGCGACGGGGTCTCGCTTGTTGGAGCGTCGGCAAGAACAGATTAGATGGCGATTAAAAACGAATCCTTTGGAGCAGAGCTTCTGGACCCGCCGCCTTCTGCTAGACATCGCCCGAGGCTTCGGGCTCCAGGGAGGCGCGCTGGAGCGGCGGGCGCGGAGGCCGAGGGCCCCCCCTCCCCCCGGATGCCCGGGGCCAGGGAGAACTGGGGCCCAAGAGGAGATTCCCGTTCCAGTCGCGCCCCCCCCGGCTCAGGCGCCGCCGCCCCCGGCCGAGGAGCCCGCTAACCAGGGGGGCCGATCTCGAGGGCCAGGCCTCCACGGCGCGCCCAGCGTCGGTCTCGAGCAGTATGTCTCCCGGCCCGGGCCCCGCCAGGTCGGAGGCCCGGGGGCCCGAGACCTTAAGGTCCAGGAGATTCTTGCGGAAACAGAGTACGGGGCGACTCCGGCCGCGGGGTGGGGGTCTCGACTCGACCCGACCGGGCCTCCTCCGGCACAGCGCCCTCGCCCCGCGCCAGTCGCAGAACGTGCCAGGGGGCCCCGGGAGAGTCAGGGGCGCGTCTCAGGAAGGGGAAGGTGCGGGATCGAGAGATCGACTGCTAGGTCACGTGCCTGTCTGTATCAGGAGAAGGGGTTCGCCTCCTGATAGTCCAGCCAGCCTAGGCCCTCCTCGCGGAGCTGACGCCAGGCAGCCTGCCGAGCAATCACAGCCCACGAGGGGGGGGTCAAGGCCTCCCAGGAGGGAGACATCCGAGCCTCCGAGGAGGCCCAATACCAACGCGGGGGGCGATGGGGAGGAGCTCGACGAGGAACTCCAGGGGGCGCGCTGCTCCTGGCTTCACTTCGATTCGACTTTTTGGCGCCCGGGGACCCAGGCTAGCGCTGTCAACTCCACGGCGGGGTGGAGGGCGGGGGCCCTCCGTCTCGGCGCGGCGCCAAAGTTTCACTGAAGAACCTCGCGCGCGAGGAAAGTCTTCTGTTTGATTTTTCCGACGCGAAAGGAAGGCCATTCTGGATCTAGGAGCGGTGCGAAATCTTGAACGCCGCGGAAGTTGCCATCGTGGGGGGCGTTTTCCAGGCAGAACCCTCGGGCCACGCGTGGTCTGGCGTTTTCAATCCCAAGGGGGGGTGGGACCCAGGGCCATCGCAAAATCGAGATGGCACGTCCAGGGCCATCGCCGCCCCGACAACGAAGATCTCCACTTTTACTCCCCGACCCCACAATCAGGCATTATCATGATCAATATCCAGGCGATTTGCTCACTAGCATGGCAACTCGAGACCGCTGATTGCAAGACTGCATTCTGCCAGTCGGGCCGTCTGCACCGACCGAAAGGGTCGTTCTTCTGCAAGCCGTGCCAAGGTCTGACCCTGGCCCCCGGAGACTTCATCGAACTCGTGTCTCCCGCGCACGGGCTAATGGCGCCCCGCTGCTGCGCCATAGAACGCCCACTCAGTGACTCTCGGAGGATGGTTTGACGAAGTCCCTCGTGTAACCGTGCATTTGGATGAAACGTTCGCCCCAGGTAGAATTGCGCTCGTTGTTGTTGATCGACGTGGGCGAATGATAGACGCGAGGGCCTCAGGGAGCGACTCCAGGGAAGGTTTCGATCCGGATGACGAGAGACTAGAGAGGCCGATTTCGCTGGGGGACACGCGAAACAAAGTTGCAACAACATCTTCGTGGGTCAAGAAAAGTACGCTTTAGAACAGCTTGCCCCCATGGGACTTGCTAAGGGGAGGCGCGCGGACCCACGCGCGCCGTTGAGCCCAGCGGAGATGCAGGTGCACAGGACAACGGTGGCCCAGATCCAATGGCTGGGTCGAGAGAACCGCCCGCATTCAGGAGGAAGAAACACACAGACACAATTAGTCCTCGATTCCCCAGAAAATATAAGAAAATATGGGAAGTGGGGGGAAGACAGAAACTTAGAACATATGGGGAAATACGGGGAATCGTTTTATTTGTGTGTATTTATTTGTGTGTCCTGGGGCTCTTTCACGTATGTGTCAGCCGAGCCTTCTCTGCAGAGCGCCGCCCTTCCTTCTCCTGCTGTGAGTGGCGCTCTGATTTGTGCCAAGATAGTGAAGCGTTTGAAGAGTGCTGCCAGCCAAAAGATAGCGCTGTGAACCCCTGGGCCCGAGTTTCCCTCATTTTCGCCACCGTGTCTGGCGCGGGTGGACCGGGGGCGGCGCGACGAAACGGGGCCCAGGGAGGTTGGTTGATTTCAGCGGCCGACCGAGCGATTCGACAAAACAAAGGAGCCCGAGTGTCCTTGTCGAGCTGGCGATCCACTTGAAGCGCAACGGTTGCCAATTTTACTGCGCGACCTCATTTTCGGGGATGTTAGCCGCCTGGATTGGCACGTTTCGCAACTGGTCCTTTTTTTCGGTAGTCTTGAGCAGAGATTTCGTCTTGTCCGACGGGGTAGAGATTGCCAAGTGTGGACGCAACGTCCATATTCGATGCATTATCGTACAATTCTGCCGGTTCGAGAGCGGATTGAAGAAATGCTATCGAGTTAGCCGTTGTGCGGGATAGTTTCAGTGCGGTGGGATTCCAAGTTTGGTGGGTCCCACACGGCAGGATGGCCGCTGACGCGTTGACGAAGGAGGACTCAGGCCGTGGTAACTTAGTTTTGACCGATTTGCTTTCCAAGGGGATTATGATCCTCGTGGACGAGGATGGCCATCTCTCAGAAAGATCTCTGACAATTCTCAAGTCTCGTTCGCGCAGAGCCTCCCAGGAAGCCCTCCTTAAAGTTAGTGTTGATGAGATGGAACCAGAAAAAAGGGTGAGTTCGGGGGGTGGCAGAGGAATTGCCCAGCTATGTCTGACCCAGTCAAAGTTGTCCCGCTGTCCTCTCTGTCCTCTTCTCTTCTCCCCTCTTTGTGTCTGCCATCGCCTTTTACGCTTTCAGCCTGTCATGGATGGGCCCAGATGGTTTGGGCAGTGTTGGGGCGCTTGCACATAAAAGAGATATGTCCACCCCTCGCGGACCATCACAAACATCCCCCTCGCAAGTCCCCCGATCGCCTCCTAAGCACATCCTCTCCTCTTCATTCCACCTTTTTGTCGCCCACCAAGCCTCCTCATCCCCCCCCTTCGCACTCTCGACGGTGAGCGCGCGAAGTAAGGAATCGGCCTGGGTGCCCAGACATACGTTATAGCAAGGTTTATTTCGCTTTGCGGGATGCACGTTCAGCGTGTGTAGAGTACGTACGTTGAACCCTCTTTAGACTGTGTTGGTCGCCTGTTGGGGCATCCGTGGGTCCTGTTGGGTCTCTTTGGGGTTTGTGCGGGGCCTGTTAGGGCGTTGTGGGCCGTCTTCGGGCGCTCTCAGGCCGTCTAGCGCCTTCTGAGGCCGTCTTGAGGGCCTCCCTGGACCGTCTTGGGATCCTCTTGAGCACTCAAAGCCCGCCTTGAAGATCTCTCTAGCTTTTTGGCGGCCCAATTGGGCTGTCTTCGGGGCCTTTCGGGCCGTTTCGGGGCCATCTTGGGGGCGTCAGCAACCTTGCCTTCCCTTCCGCATTCCTTCTCCTCACTGGTGTTGCCGATTGTGTTGCCTGCTCTGCGGGACATGGTTAGTTCGCACATGCTTCTTCGGAGCAGGGTAGACAGCTGTATTCAACTCAGTTCCGAATAGGGCATCAGCCATACTATCCACCCACATTTCAGGGAGCCTCCAGGGACTCATGCCAAGGCATGCAGTACATCTGCAGTTCAGGCGTTGCGCACCGTCGCGGTCCAAGGAGGCGGTATGGGAGTTGTTGCGGCATTCGAGGGAAGGGAGGGTGAGGAGGCACAGGATGACGACGAGAAAGGTGAGGCGGAGCATGATGTGAAGCTGGCGCGCAGATCTTTACCCCTCGCATCTGGCACCCTATGTGAGGCAGGTGCGCCTGCCTATACAATTCCCAAGCGCATGCGGACGGGGTCCAGCTCAGGCGTGCCGATCGGTAGCAGGAGGGGTAAGGGAAGGATGAGTTTTTCGGAGGAAGAGGATGAGGAAGATGGCGAAGAAGGAGGGAGGAAGGAAGGGGGGATGGATGGAAGGAGGAGGGCAGGGCGAGGGTACGAGGGGGAGCGGGAGGAGGAGGAGGAGGAGGAGGAGGAGGAGGAGCCTGAGGTCAAATAACCAGAGACGGCTATGAATTTTTTGTTCGACCGATCGAGCGCAGGTTTCACATCTTGCCAGCACGCGCTTGATGTCGGTGCGGCAGGGAGGGCCTCTCGGGCAGGGGAGGAGGCAGAGCGGAGGGCACAAGAAGAAGAGGCCGCCAAGAAGGCAAAGGCCGCTGCTGCAGAGGCCGAAGCAGAGGAGCCTCCTTCTTCCTCGCACTCCTCAAGAGGGGAAAAGGAGTCGGGGGCCCAGAGATCCGAGGATCTGATTGTTGTAAATCAGGAGGAGGAAAAGAAACACACAGACACAATTGATCCCCGATTCCCCAGAAAATATGGGAAAATATGGGAAGTGGGGGGGAAGACAGAAACCCAGAAACTATAGGGAAATACGGGGCATATTTTTATTTGTGTGTATTTATTTGTGCGTCCTGGGGCCCCTTCAGTAAATCCCGCGGTTTTCCTTGGGTTTCGGCCTCCAGGGCCCGTTACCGGGCCCAGGGACCATAAAACATGGATCCGGGACGGAAAGCCAGCCACGGGGAAGGGGGCGGGAATTTTGAGGCCGCGGATTGAAAAAGTCAGATCCGAGGATCTGGTTGTTGTAAATCCCGCGGTTTTCCTTGGATTTCGGCCTCCAGGGCCCGTTACCGGGCCCAGGGACCATAAAACATGGATCCGGGACGGAAAGCCGGCCACGGGGAAGGGGGCGGGAATTGTGGGGCCGCGGATTGAAAAAGTCAGATCCGCGGATTTTCGGGGAGCGCTCCCGTTCCTGATTATCCTGTTCCTCGACATCTTCATTATCGAAGTTGCCTACGTCGAATCACTGCCACCCCCTGCCCTTTGGAAGCACCGATGCGGCCAACAGCTAGGCCAGAGCTTGGCCAAGTTATCGGGCCGGTTGTTCCCCGAGTCGGTTTGGAAAGCCTTCGGGGAGCGCGTGGGGGAGCAAGAGGTTTGAAATCGCCCATCTGTCTGAGCGTTGTGGCAAGAGCTCTGCCAAACTATCAAATCATGTGTTCCCCCAACCGTTGTGGAAACCCTTCGGGGAACACTTGGGGGAAGGATGGTGGGGAAGATCAGGAGGTGTCGAAGGAGGAGGAGGAGCCATCAACGATGTTGGAATACACCCTCCCTCCAAGCTCCCTATTCATAGACCCCTACAACGGTTCATTTCCATTGATGGATCTGCTTCGTTTGAAGACAACCTTTTGAAGACCAGGAAGCATGCCAACACATTGTTCTCGGGATTCCAACGCCACTGATCATCTTGACTGTTGCGTCTTGACGATCCTGGATCGTGCCAGAACGCAATTCTTGGGATACCAACACTGCGAATCAACGTAACTGTTGCACCCGCAAAATCCGAATCCCTCCAAAACAACATTTCTGGTACGTTGATCGCGGGAATCCGTGAGACTCTTTGCAAATGTTTAAAACGAATGTGCGCGGCGCTAAGGCGAGAGCCACATTTTGAATAGGAACCGCCCTCAATCCGTGAAGCTAAACGAATGTGCGCGGCGCTAAGCCGAGAACCACATTTTGAAAAGTGTTATCCTCAATCCGTGAATCTCTTGTAATGTTTAATAAAGAATGCACGCGGCGCTAAGGCGAGAGCCACATTTTGAAAAGCACCCGCCCTTCATGTGTGAAACTGTTGCCAATGTTATGCTTCAGAGTGATAAATGGTGAGAAAGTCTCAGGCGAAACGCCCAGCCCGCCCTAAACACTAGCCTCGGGGTGCGACAGGGAGAAGTTTTTCTTAAGGAAAAGGAGTGGAGGAGGAGGAGGAGGAGGAGGAGGAGGAGGAGGAGGAGGAGGAGGAGCCGGGGGAGCCCTGGGAACCTCTGGGGGCACTCTTGGGGCCTCCTGGGAGCTTCATAGGAGCCTCTTGGAGGCATTTTGGGGGGCCTCCGTGGGGGCATCTTGGCGGGCTTTTGGGGGGCCTCTCGGGGGCCTCCGTGGCCGCCTCAGGGCATTCCTGGCCCTCCCGACGCCGTCGGAAGCAGCCGTCTTAGGGGCTTCTCTGGGCCGACTTGGAGCCCTCTTGGGGTGCTCCAGGGCCGTCTTGGAGGCCATCTTGGCCGTCTTGGAGGCCATCTTGGCCATCTTGGAGGCCTCTTGGGCCGTCTGGGGGCCCTCCTGGGGGGCCTCTCGGGCCGTTCTGGGGCCGTCTTGGGGGCCTCTCGGGCGATCTTTGGGGGCTCTTGGGCCGTCTCGGGCCGTCGGAAGGCCGAAAAGACGCAACTGCCAACATCCTTCAAAAGCCTAAGGGAAATCAGTGATTTTGGCCCCTTCGGGCCTTCCTGGAGGCCCTCTTGGAGGCCTCTTGGGCAGTCTTGGAGGCCTCCCGGGGGCCTCTTGGGCCCTCTTGGACCGTTTTGGATGCTTCTTGGGCGGACTGGAAGACATCTTCAGTCGTGAGCCCGCTTGGGCCGTCTTGGTGGCATCTTGGGGTGTTGGAGACACCTGGATGTGACACTACCCTATGACACTATGCTACAGTTGATGGGGCAAGGCGAGCAAGAGTTGTTTCCGTTTGCTTTCGTTGGGGTTTGCGAGGCGTGGCTCCGTGAGAGATCGGCGGTTCCTTTAGCGTAGTGTCACAGCGTAGTGTTGGAGACACTAGGGTGTGACACTACCCTGTGACACTACGCTACAGTTGACGGGGCAGGGCGAGCAAGAGTTTTTTCCGTTTGCTTTCGTGGGGGTTCGCGAGGCCTTGTTCCGTGAGGGATCGGCGGTTCCGTTAGCGAGGTGTCGTGGCGAAGTGTTGGGGACACTTGGGTGTGACACTACCCTATGACACTACGCTACAGTTGACCAGGCAAGGCGAGCAAGAGTTTTTGTCCGTGTGGTTTCGTTGGGGTTGGCGAGGCGTTGCTCCGCGAGACGGGCCCCCTTCGAAACAATGTGTGTGCCCCCAGAACCCCCGTGGTTGGTTCGTTGGCTGGTTGGCGGCCCTCGGTTGGTTGGCTGGTTGGCTGATTGGTTGGCCTACAGGCCCACGCCAGCTCACACGCCGAGGGTCCACCCGCCCGCGGATGTTGACTTTGTGCGCCGTGATCGCCGGACCTGCCTTCAAAAGATGCCTTTCGGCACGCTCCGGCCCCCGTTGGCTGGTTGATTGGCGACCCTCGGCTGGGGCCCCGCAGACGGGGCCCCATCGGAAACATTGCTCCTGCCCCCAGAACCCCCGCAGGAGATGCGTGGCTGGTTGGTTGGCTGGTTCGCGGGCCTCGGCTGGCTGGTTGCTTCGTCCCTTGGCCTACCAGCGTCTACAGGGTGCCACGAGCGGCGCCCGACTGCAGCGAACGGTGCGCAGCAGCCCCGAGCGGCGCGGCCGCGACACACACACACACACACACACACACGCACGCACGCACGCACGCACGCACGCACGCACGCACGCACGCACGCACGCACGCACGCACGCACGCACGCACGCACGCACACACACACACACACACACACACACACACACACACACGCACGCACGCACGCACACCCACACACCCAGGAATTCCGCAGGCTTCCCCAGGAATTCTATAGGATTCCCTGGGATTGCCGCAGGTTTCCTGAGGAATTCCACGGGAATCCTTGGGAATTCTATTGGGTCTCCTAGGAATTCTACAGGATCCCCCAGGAATCCTGGAGGATTCCCGACTCTACTCTGCTCCGCCGGCGGAGTCTCCTTCACGGTTAGCGTAGTGTCACAGCGTAGTGTTGGGAACATTTGGGTGTGACACTACCTTATGACACTACGCTACGATTAGCGTAGTGTCGTAGCGTAGTGTTGGGAACACCTGGATGTGACATTACGCTATGACACTATGCTAATTTACACTACGCTATGACACTAACCAACGGTTAGCGTAGTGTCATAGCGTAGTGTTGGGCACACCTTTGGCGTGACACTACTCTATGACACTGCGCGACAGTTGACGTCGGTGTGACACTACGCTACGACACTACGCTATGACACTACGATATGACACTACGCTACGGTTAGGGTAGTGTCACAGAGTAGTGTTGGGGGCACCTGGCTGTGACACTACGCAATGACACTACGCTCGTGCAGTGTCATAGCGTAGTGTCGCGGTCGCGTGGCTTTGACATTACGCTACGTGAAGTTTACGTAGTGTCATAGCGTAGTGTCTAACTTCACGGTTAAGATCAACTCTCTTTTCAGCATATTCGCTTGCTTCGTCTTCAGAGTGCCCCAGACGCACCCGAGGAGCCCCAAGACAGCCCAAGAGAGACCCAAGAGGGCCCAAGACGGCCAAAAAAGATCGTCCTGTGGGGCTGACGGAACCCCCCATAACGGCCAAAGAGGCCCCGAAGCCGGCCCAGGAGGCCCCCAAGACGGCCTCAGGGAGGCCCAAGAGGGCCTCGTTCGAAATCATGTTCCCGGAAGCTTCTCCGGGAACATGATTTCCGGGTTCCCAGGACGCCCAAGAGGCCCACAAGAAAGTTTCAGCAAGGCCCAGGAGGGCCCGAAATGGTTTCAAGATGGCCGAAGAGGGCTCCTGCAAGAGGCAAAAATCAGCCCGTTCCCGTAGTAAAACGTACACTTTCAGCATACTCCCTTGCTTCGTCTTCGCAGTGCCCCAGACGCCCCCGAGGAGCCCCAAGACAGCCCAAGAGAGACCCAAGAGGGCCCAAGACGGCTCATAAGGGTCGTCCTGTGGGGCTGACGGAACCCCCCAAGACGGCCCAAGAGTGCCCCAAAGCCATCCCAGGAGCCCCCCAAGACAGCCTCAGGGAGGCCCAAGAGAGCTTCGTTCGAAATCATGCTCCCGGAAGCCTCTCCGGGAACATGATTTCCGGGTTCCCAGGAAAGACAGCCCCCAGAGGCCCCAGACACGCCGAAGATGGCCTCAGGACGGCCGACCTCGCCGCCAAAACTCCCTAAGAGCGCCTCCAGAGGCCCCTCCAGAGGGCCCCAGAAGCCGAAAATAATTGATTTTCCAATGGTTTTTGAAGCATTCTGGCGCTCTCCCATGTTCTGCCTCCCCACGGTCCCGGACCGCGTCAGAGGCCCTTCAGATCGCCGGCCGAAGAGACTCCCAAGAAAGCCGAGAGACGGCCCAGGAGGCTTCCCAGATAAGTCAAGAGGGCCTCGAGATCGCCCCAAGAGAGCCCCAAGACCGACCCAAGAGGGCCCGAAGAGCGCGACATTTCGAGGTCTCCGGCCTGAGAGGCTTCTAGGACGCCCCTGGATGCCATCAAGAGGCTCCCAAGAAGCCCCGTGAGGCTCCCAAGAGGCCCCCAGGAAGCCCCAATAGGCCCCCAAGGGACCCCCAGGGAAGCCCCTTGCGGGCCCCCAAGACACTTCAGTAAATCGTATTTCCCAGATAGCTTTCCGGGAACATGCTTCCTTGGCCTTCCGCCCACCGCCCCAACCATGTTTCCAATAGGCTTGCCAACAAGGCCAAAAGGCGCCCCTCGGTAAGCCCCCAGAGGCCCCCCTCTTAGAGAGCCGAACAAATCATGCTCCAGGAAAGCTTCCCGAGAACATGAATCTCTATCTCGGAGTAGGCCCGGGGGGGTGGGGGCGGGCGGGCCGCTGCCTGTTCCCCCCATCGGTGGCCACCAGGGGTTGCGGGGGGGGTCAGAGCTCCCGAGGCGGCCCGAGCCCGCCCCGAAGCAGGCCACAACAGGCTAAGGGGGTCCCGAGAGTACCCAAGACGGTCCCACGAGGCCCCGAAGACGGCCAAGTTGCCCTCAAGACAGCCGACGAGGACTCCAACACGCTCCAGGACGGACTCGAGAGGCTCCCCAAGAGGGCCCTGGAAGGCAAGATTCATTAGTTTTCCGAGTGTTTTGGATATTGGCGTTCTCGCTTTTCCCGCTTTCCAGCGCTCCCTCACGGCCTCGGAGGCCTTTCAGATCGCTCCAAGAAGGCCCACGAGGGCCCCAAGACGGCCCAGGATGCTCCCCAGACAACCCAAGTATGCCCCAAGAGCGTGCCAAGAGAAGGCCCAGAGGGGTCCAGAGGCGGCCCAGGCCCGCCCCGAAGCAGGCCACGACAGGCTAATGGAGGTCCCGAGAGTACCCAAGACGGTCCCACGAGGCCCCGAAGACGCCCAAGCTGCCCTCCAGACGGCCGACGAGGACTCCAACACGCTCCGGGACGGACTCAAGAGGCTCCCCAAGAGGGCCCTGGGAGGCAAGATTCACTAATTTTCCGATGGCTCTTGAAGGATTTAGGCGTTCTCGCTTTTCTTGCTTCCCAGCGCTTCCTCACGGCCTCGTTCGGAGGCCCTTCAGATCGCTCCAAGACGGGCCACGAGGCCCCGAAGAGGGCCCCAAGACGGCCCAGGAGGCTCCCCAGACAACCCAACTGTGCCCCAAGAGCTTCGCAAGAGAGGGCCCAGAGGGGGACCGCCAGCCGATATTTCGAGGTCTCCGGCCCTAGAGGCTGGCTGTAGGCCCCCGGAGGCCACGAAGAGGCTGCCACGAAGCCCCGTGAGGCGCCCAAGAGGCCCCCAGGAAGCCCCAAGAGACCCCCAAGGGATTCCCAGGGAACGCCCAAGAGGCCCCCCAACACACCCCAAGAAATCATGTCCCCAGAAAACCTTCCAGGGACATGGTTCATCATGGGCCCGAGAGTTCCCGGAGGCCCCAAAAGGGCCCCCAGGGAACGCCCAAGAGACCCCCCAACACACCCCAACAAACCATGTCCCCAGAAAGCCTTCCGGGGACATGGTTCATCATGGGCCCGCGAGTCTCCGGAGGCTTCGAAGTACCATCATGCTACAGGAGAGTTGTCTGGGAAGTTGATTTGGAACATGACTGATCGCCTTCTCGCGGCCTTCCGCAGATCGTTTCGCACAAAGTTGCCCCAAGTGCCCTTTTGAATCGACGACGACGACGTCGACGACGACGACGACGACGACGACGACGACGACGACGACGGCGTGCCCCAATAGGCGACGACGACATGACGACGACGACGACGACGACGACGACGACGACGACGGCACGCCCCAACAGGCTCCCAAGACGCCCCAAACCCATGCTCCCAGAAGGCCTTCTGGGAACCTGATTCATACGGCCTCCGCCCCCCTACACAACCATTTTCCTCGAAGGCCTTTCGGAACTCAGATTGGCATGCTTGGACTGTGGTCCACTACTTCAGTGGAGCAGTGAATTCGTCAAGGCCTGGGGCCTGCTAGATCCTTAGCGCGCGCGAAGCGCGCGCGATGGTTCTAGTATATATATATATATATATATATTCGCTCGTTGTTGTTCCTCGCTCTCTCTCTCTCTCTCTCTCTCTCTCTTTACACACACATATAGATGTATCCCTCTCTCTCTCTGCCCGAGCCCAGCGGCTCTGTTGCGACCCCGCCGACGAGACTCCCGACGCGCCCGCGGCCCGCGAGGAGCGCGAGAGGGCTGAGGAGTCCGAGAGGGCTGCCGCGAGAGAGAAGGAGAAGGAGAGAGAGAAGGTCGGCGGTTCAAAGATGGGGTCCCTGGGGGGCGGGGTCAGAAGGACAGGGATGGATTTGCTGGGCTTGCACCATCTGAGGCACCTCGTCGTGAGGATCCCAGCCCTCGGGAACCCCATCCTTGAGCCACCGAAAGGAGAAGGAGAAAGAGAGGGAGAAGGCGAAGGACCGCCGCTCCCACACACAGCCGGCCCCGACTAGCAGGTCGACCCTGCCAGAGCAAGGGTGCCCCTGTGTCCCGTGCCTCGCCACCCATGCCTTCTGCACTCCTATGGCAACGTGGCCCTCGGAAGGTTCGTGCCGAACGAAAGGGGGGGATAGGGAAAGGGGGGGGGTACGACATCTGCTGCATGCAGCTGGTTTCGGCCCCGCCGCCGGGCCCACTCCTCGATACGTGGGCGCCTCCCGGCGCCGGGAGGCGCAGGGAAAATGAGCTACGTGAGCTGATTCTCAGACCCCCCTTTGCTATCCCCCCTTTCGCCCAGCCCGACAAAGGTCTCGTGCCCTCTCGTGCGCCCTCTCCAAGCAGGTCCGACTGCATCGTGCTCCCTCACTCTGCCGCTGCATGCTCTGTGGCGAGGGCGCCGACGCCCCCTGCCCGCTCGCTCCGCGTGCTCTCCGTCGCGCTCCCCTGGCCTGGAGGTAGGATCGGACCGCGGTGTGGGGTCGAGATCGGCGCAGGGAGGGGGCCCTGGTGTTCTCCGTGCTTGCTGGCCGCTTTGTGTGCATCCTGCGGGAGGGCGCCCTCGAGTGTGCTTCGGTCTGGACCGGCGAGGGGTCAGGACGTCCTCTTCCGTCCTGGGTCTGACCGTGTTCCTTGCCCTTCGCTCATCCTTCTTCTCTCTCTGGCCTGCTTGCGCACGGGCCCGTGCGCGGCCGCACCGACGCTGCGGGCGACGAGACGCCCCCGCCAGTCGCCAGAGGGCCAGGAAGGAGAAGGACGAGGAGAAGGCAGACGGAACGAGAAGGACGAGGAGGAGGAGGAGGAGGAGGAGGACGAGGAGTAGGAGGAGGAGGAGGAGGAGGAGGAGGAGGAGAAGGAGGAGGAGGAGGAGAAGGACGAGGACGAGGAGGAGAAGGCCTGGTCGCCCTCGCCCGACGTCCGGGTCCGAGAAGGCAGAGACGGGCCAGTCGCCAGGAGGCAGGCGGGCCCGAGGTGCAACAGATCCCGAGGCCTTTGCCGTCGCTCTCGGCTTCCTGGGGCCCTCCACGAGCCAAGGGTGATGAGCCTGTTTTCCACCACCACCACCACCACCATGAGTTGGAGGGGGAAGGGGTCCTCCTCCTCCTCCTCCTCCTCCTCCTCCTCCTCCACCTCCTTCCCCCTCCAACTTACGGTGGTGGTGGAAAACAGGCCCATCATGGGCCCCGTCGGACCGTGGTACAAGATCGAGGTCGACTCGGGGAGGGTGCCCTCATGTTGTTCGTGTCTGTTGCATGTTCCTGTGCGTCCTGGGAAAGGGATGCCCTCGAATGTTCTGCGGCTTGGCCGGCGAATGTGTCTCTGCCCTGGGTCCGGCCTTGTAAAATTCTGGAGTTCCGTGCGGATTCCTTGTGCCGTTGGCCCTGGGGACGGGCGGGGTCCGGCGCGCCAGCCCAAGAGATCCGCGCAGCCCTCCGAAAGTTTAGGTTGACGCCGTTGCTGTTCCTCCACCAGGCGTCCACGTGAACCAGTCCTCGCCCCTCCCTCTTCCCCTCGTCGTTTCCTCTCCCCTACCCCCTACCCGCTCCCCTCTTGCATGATGCCCCGCAAACGCATTGTCTCCCGAAGTACGTCGTCCCCGCTCAGTGTCTGTGCTCCGGCGCGCTTGCATTCGCGATGCTCACCGAGCGCGTTGCGCTACTCGCAAAGTACCTACTCGCAAACGTCAGGAAAAAAACATGTCTTCCCCTATGTAATGGATCCCTCGAGGCGGATCCAGGCCGTTTGCGAGCATCTACTTTGCGAGTAGATAGTGAGTAGTGAAACGCGCTTGTCCAGGTACACTAGTTGTTTTTGTTTCCTTGGCCTTCGTATCGTGTGGGCTTCCTGCCGGTGCGCCGTCCAGGCGCGGCCTCCTGCGCGCGTGCGTGCCACGTCCTCGCCGGGCCCCTCCTGGACCCACGATCGGTGGGTACGCCCTCCCAGAGGCCCAGACCCCGGAGGGCCCGTCCAGCAGTTTCTGGGACTAGGTTTAAGTTGGGTCCCTCTACAGGGGGAATACTCAGAAATAGTTTAAGAAAGTCAGGGGGCGATTTTTTGATTATTTTTTGGCCATTTGGGGTGTATTTTTTTGAGTAATTTTAATTTTTCGCCCAAGATCCCCCTGTAGGGGGACACGCCCGACCTAAGACTAGGTCTGGCCCGGCCAGGTCCGGTGCGCGTGGGAAGCCCGCGCCCCGCCCCGCACGAGGAGAAAGCAACGCAGAAAGATCCCGACAAGGCGGGGGAGGACGAGGAGGCCGACAAGGCCCGCCGACCCTGTGAGGGACAGATGATTTGCCGTGGGCGTGGCCCAACGTAAAGCTCTGGGCGCAGCGGCGCTGAGCCAGGGAGGTCCCAACGAGTTGGAGGGACAGTGTTGGTGGAAGTCCAGACGTCCAAGACACCTGAAAACCATGCGCTTGGAGACCAAGCGTTTTTGAGCGAGTCAGTGTGAGGTCCTGGACGTTCGGCATTGACGCGCCATCGATCATCTCGGTTCACAGGGACACGGCGAATGAAGCAGCGGTGACTTTAAAGTCCCCGAGGCCAGACATCTGTAGATTTCACGTTCGAGGGCCCACATGCGACCAGGTTGGTTATGTCCGTGGTGGGGGGCGAGACAGGCAACTGCAGCAGGCTTGATACTCGGATAGCTCAGCTCGGTGCTATTGAGTCCGAGGAAGAGAGGCGTGGCCGCTTTCCAGTAGCCAGTTCGTATGTTGCGTGTTCGTTCGCATATTCTCTTTGCCTTTTTGCGGCAGCCATGCTGCACCCCCGGGACCACTGACCGCCATAGTTGAAATCGGTTAGAGAGAATTGGCAGGGCTCCGGGGACAGACTTCGAACGGGCTCGGGCCCTGGGCCTGAGGGTTCCAGAAAGGGTTCGAGGGCAGCAGATTTTCTGAGCGGTTCCATGGTGCCAGAGCAGGGCAGGGAGGCGTCCTGCGTATCGCAAGCCCCGTGCTGCCCTGGGCCATCCGCGGTTGCGAAGCGCGTCCATCATTCGCATGCACGCAATTAATTAGAGCCACTGTTTCCCTTGATCGCGGCAAACGTTCGCTGCAGCGGCAACCTGCCGTAATGATTGCACTAGCTTGCGGGGGACAGGGTTCGGTGTGTCATGGTCTTGGCCGATAAAGAAAGCGATGTGCCTCCCATGCGCAGTCAAGGGCAGGGAAGGTCAGTGCCAATGTTTGGCGATGGCCATAGTTACTGTTCGGGGAAGCGTGTGTAGAAATTCCCATGTTCCATCATTAACTGGTGATAGTTCGAATTATTGGTTCGGCTTGGAGAAGTGGCGCCCGTCAAGATGCCATACTGCGTTGGATCTAGAGAAGCAGTTGGCTGGCCTGCTTGTTGGAACGTCGTTCGTTTTCTAGGGGAGACTCGCCGCTGCTGCCCCGCGCCAGCGGGGCAGGCGATGACCCCGATCCGCGCCAATGGGCCAGACAGCGCCCCCGATCGACTGCTGAACGACGCATGCGCGCACGTGTTTATTCCCCAGTCAGTGCTTGCACTGAAGGGGTCCCAGCGGAAGTTGAGAGATGTGGCGAAGGTTTCCCGCCGAATTCTGGTAGCAGGCTGGGTTCCTGGGTTCCCGGTCCCGGGTTCCGGGTTCCCGGTCATTGGTTCTGGGCCGATTTCGGTGGGCTCCCGGGCTCCCGGGTTCCCGGTCGATCTCCTCAGCGAAAACCATCCGCGGGTTGGGGCATCTCTCTGGTGTAATTTGAAGGTTCGCGTGAGCGCCATCAACACCGCGGGCACCGCTTGCCACTGTGGCCAGCGCGCCCCGTCGCCGCGTACCAGCAGGCGGCGGAAGCTGCGAGGGCGCCGGCCCTGGGCGGAGCGGCAGCGGCGCAAACGTCACCTCCATCCCCCACGTGGAGCCTGGGATTTCGTCGCCTGCTGTTGCTCGCGCTTTCGATGGCATCAGTATTAAGTCGCGCGAGGCCCATGGGACCCTTGAGGACACACGCCTCCCCGCCAACCCTTTTTGGGACCCTCCAGTTGGTCGAAACAACAGCTTGGTTTCATCAGGGGCGCGCGCGGACGGGCAAGCAGCTCGACCGACAGCAGTGAGCGACAGCTCTGGGTTGGATGCTCTAATTTCAGAGGCTCCAGCCGAATTGCAGCTTAGGCTCGGCTTCAGTCTTGGGTGCCGTACAGTCGAGTTTGATTAGTGGGTTGACCCTGCCAAGTCAAGGGTTTCTTGTGTCCTGCGTTTAGCGACCCATGCCCTCTATATTCCTGTGGCATTGCGGCACTCGGAGAGGTCTTGTGTCCTCTCGCGTGTCCTCTTGATTATAGCATCAGCTCATCGTTGGGAAAGCAGGGTCGCAGCATTAAGAATGGTGTACAACCTGCCAAGCATCCTGCCTGCCTTGTAGAGTTAGAGAGTGGCTAAGAAACATCTGGCAGAGCCACAACATAAGCTGTATGATGCCATCTCCTAGATGTGTCGTGAGCATCGTGAGGTTGGAGCAGTATAGATGGTCTCCAGCATGGAGTGAACACAGAGGCGGCCGACATCCACCCCTCGGCGAGCTCCTGCGGTGATGCATTTGGTGGCTTAAGGTGGCGCAGTATACAATTCCCTGTGAATTACTCGTGCGCAACACTCCGCTCTGAGGTCGAGAAGGAGGAGGATGGCAAGAGGCCAGGTCCGCAGGATGACAAGAAGTCGAGCCCACCTGCTGATGACAAGGATCTGGTTTTCTTGCGCATGTGCGAGTGCCTTTTGCTTATGTGACAATGCCAATGGTTTCCTCTTGTGGGTCGCCACCTTGACTTACTGCGCTGGGCGAGCTGGGCCTGTACATAGCTGTGGTCCTTGCTTAACGCGTTTGAGTGAGCCACGAGCCACGAGTATACCAGTGCACCATCTCAATTTTGCGTTGACCGCGTGTACTTGCATGGGTATCATGATGGCGAAGGATGTTATGTAAGTGTCGATGGCGCTTGTCGCTGCCCCGGGGAGGACCCCTCTCCCCCGCAAGAAGCCAACTGGGGTTGTACGTTGTACGTACATAGTCCTCTTTCTAATCCTTGCCTCCCTCTTTCTGTAGTCACGCTGATCCCCCTTTTCCGTAGCCTTGCTTGCTCAAGTTCCCGCCGGATTGGTCGGGGTCTCCCACCCAATTTCGCAGTCAATGCCGCCCACCTTTTCGTTTCACTCCGCCGTGCTTCCAAGTCAGTCGTGGAGGGGCAAGACAGCAGTTGCATAGCACTGTGTTACAAGTTCCCAGTCGTGCGGGATGGCATACCAGTATGAATTTAGCGAAGTCTGGGAATAATGCGAACGACGTGCGACTTGAAAGTACGAGTGTAAAACAAGTGCGACTCGAACGCGTGCGAAACGTACGGCCCTAACAACTAAGGATGCGAATTCATGCGTTTTCGCACTTTTCGTACTCAGGATGCACACCCATATTGTTGCAAACGTTATTAGTAAGGGCTTCGCCCCCTGCGTCCGGCCCCCCCCTCTCTCGGAGAACGGTGTATGCAAGAGCTATGTTGTGAGGCTTGGGCGCCGTCGTGAAGCAGCGTCCTACGGGGGTCACTTGAGATATCCAGGTGCGCATGGCGTAGTTTATGAGAATGTATTGTCTCGGAGTCGTGAATATCTCAGACGCCAGAAGGAACTATGGTCTCGGGAGCGCGAACACGGCGTCATCTGCGAGGGTGTACGGCCTCGTCGCAGGGCGTGTCGCGCGCCACGGTCTGCGCCCAGCCTTCCACGGAGATCTGGGGGGTCGTCGCAAGGCTGGGAGATCGTTACGAGACCCTCCAGGATGTCCGCGAGTTTCAGACCCGCAGGAGGCGACGAGGAGCTGGGCGCGGCGTAGCCGATCGCCGCCACCGTGCCCACCCCGTGTTTGAACTCTGTCTGGCGGGCGAAGTTCGCCGTGCTACCATACGTAACGAGACCATCTCTGCACGCCAAGCTCTCTCTCTCTCTCTCGACCGCGCGCGGCGGAGAGCTTTCTAGAGCGCCCGCGCGGAGCCAGCGAAACCGTCGTGGAAAAGCAGGACGACAATCGGCGATCTCAGCCGCCAACTTCCTTGGCCTGTCCCCGGCGGACAGGTCCTGGGACAGCTCGCGGAAGGCGTCGCGGGCCAAGATCTGCAGCCACCCCGCCGCTGGAGCCTTAGATATCGCACAGAAACCGTCCAGGATGTGCACGCACTTCGGGCAAGCGGACGGTGACAGGTACCCTGGCGGCTTGCCGCTACGCTCCGGGACGATGGAGCCCACCGTCGCCTGCGCGCGCGGCCGCGCCTCAGCCCAGTCTGGCGCGGGCGGGCGAAGTTGCCCGTGCCACCATCCACAGTGAGGCCAGCGGGATCCCAAAGGCCAACCGAGCCCAACACGGCCACCTCGCTCCCAAACGCGCGCAGTAAAGAGCCCGCGTAGACCGCCGTGCCGCCCTGGAGCGTAGTCTCGACGGCAGCCATCGCGGCCGGGCAACCGTTGGCGATCTCCGCCGCCGAATTCTTCTTCTGCAGCTCATCGGCATCACTGGGCGTCAGCACCCGGA